TTAGGGAAGACAGGATTTTGCAATGTACTAGTATTAGTTGGCTGTAAAGGCTTGGTTGTTTAATCATCTGTCTCAGTTTCCCTATTCCACTTGCCCTGGCTTCCTAACTAGTCTCTCTCACAGGGGCCCAGAAGCCTTGGGAGAGCTTTTGTGAATGGATAATGAGGTTGTTCCAAAAGATGCTAAGTCGACTGCAGAAGATGTGGCAGGACGTGGTGGCCTGGGTGCAGGAGAAGTGGGCCTCCTTTGTCAGCGTGGTGAAGTCCATCTGGATCGACATTAAGGATTTCTGCTCCCGTGTGGCACAGTACTTCTCAAGTTAATTCCTGGTCTAAAGAGTCCCATGAGGTACTGGAGGAGCTCAGTCACACCTCCCAGCCCTTTGATTCCCCCCCACTCCTTCTCAGAAAGAATCTTCTGAAGTAACATTTGCTTTCCTGCTCACCCTTGACCCATCCTCGACAACCTCCCTCACTTCCACCCTGTTCACAGCCTCTCCATCTAGCTTGCCTGGGTTTCGTTCTCTTGCTACAGCATTTTATTAAACGTTGGTTGGCCTGGGGAGGGGGCAGGAGTGGGTGGAGGAGGTCAATGGGGAAAAGGGAGCTCTGTAATACTTTCAACAATAAAGGTAATTTGCTTCAAAAGTTGATTGAACCAAGTTGAGTGCCCGTCTGGATGGGTGGCAGGGTGCTCAGTGGTTACAGGGAGAGGCTGTGCAACAATCAGATGGATCTAGGCCTGGATCTCGGCTCTGGTGAGAAAGGAGAAGCCACCTGACCTCTCTGATCTGTAGACAGGGCCCTGGTCACACTGGCCACGGATTATAATGAGCACAGGAGGATTTCAGCCTGTGCACGGCTTCTCGCAGGGCCTGGCACATCGTAAGTGCTCCATAGCTGCCCGTTCCTGAACGCAAGGAGCTCAGGCCTGAGGGACTTTGGCCCCTTTTCTTTTCCTGACCACCCTCTTTGGGCCTTCATCACTGGGGCAGGGCTGGGCCTCTGAAACGCCTTCATCTTTCTTCCAAGATCAGAGGCCCAGGGACTGGGGCAGTGGTGGTGTAGGGAGCAGGCAGAGTGCACTTCTGTGTGAGCCTGGAAGGAAGGCAGAGTAGGGAGGGGGCAGCCATCTGATCTCTGGGCTGGCCACCTCACCTGGGACTGCAAATGCAGAGACTGGGGAGAGCCTGGAGCAAGGCCTGAGGCCTGAGGGGGGCAGCACTGCTCACCATCTATGAGGCCAAATGCCTCCCACCCCCCAGCCCTGACTTCCTGCTCCAGGCAGATGCATACAGACCCGCTTTGCATTCAGGGGTGACAGGCAGCAAACAGCAGTTGCTGAGATGAGATGAAGGTGGGGCTGACCTGAAGCGGGAAGAAAAGGGAGGAAGTGGGCCTGATGAAGAGCAAGCACACCAGCAGTGGGTGTGTGGCAGGTGGGGGGCGGGAGGGGACGGAGCCAGGAGACCTGAAGGATGGGGGCATTTCTGTGGGTCAGTATCCTGCACCCTCCTCTGCCAGCTTCACACCCTTTGGCTGGTAGGAACATCTTGATTCCTAGGAGGAGCTCCCGGTAAGGGCCAGCTGTCAGTCCTGCAAGAGGAGCAATGGCTGGACCCAGACCCTTCTGGTAGCTTCTCAGTGATCCCAATAATGCTGAGGGACCCGGCCCCAGCAGGGAGGGCACGAGTGGCAAGGATCTTCCTCACCTTTGGCCCTGGCCCCTACCTTCCTGAGGAAGAAGGCAGCCCCTCTGAGAGTTCCTTTTAGCAGAGCCCCACCCGTGCTCACATCCTATCCTCCTTCACTTCCAGGGGACCCTCTGACATGTCTTCACACGGTAAGGCCCATCTCTGGCCTGAATTCCCCGGCTCCAAGGGCTGCCCACTGCAGGTCCTGACCAGCCTTCACTTACCCTTGGCCATATCCTCACCTCACGTCCCAGGCACCATTCTTTTTTTTTTCCTTTATGTTTCTATAGATTTTTAAAAACATATGTTTTTATTGATTTCAGAGAGGAAGGGAGAGGGAGAAAGAGGTAGAAACATCCATGATGAGAATTATTGATCAGCTGCCTCCTGTACATACCCTACTGGGAATCGAGCCCACAACCCAGGCATGTGCCCTGACCAGGAATCGAACCGTGACCTCCTGGTTCATAGGTTGATGCTCAACCACTAAGCCACGCCACGCCAGCTGGGCTCTTTTAGAGATTTATGGATTTTTTAGAGAGAGAGGAAGGGAGAGATAGAAGCATCAATGAGAAGGAAACAAAGGGAGAGATAGAAGCATCAATGAGAAGGAAACATTGATCAGCTGCCTCCTGCACGCCCCCTACTGGGGATGGAGCCTGCAACCTGGGCATGTGCCTTAACTGGGAATCGAACAGGTTGGTTCATGAATCAACTTCTGAGCCACACCAGCTGGGCATCAGTCACCATTCTTGTTCTTTCAAACCCTGTCCCTGAATTTCCCAAGTGACCCTGTATCAAACCACTGACCTCTGCTCATGCCCTCCCACTTAATTCCTCTAACAGAAAAAACTGTCCCCCTGTGCTAATGCCACCAGGAGCTTTGTGCCCATCAATCCCTTGAGGTCACCTCCTGGCTCACCTCCCAGTCTTGCCTCCTTTCAGTCCAGTAGCCAAGCTCTAAATGCTTTCATTGTTAAAAATGAAATAACTCCCGGCCTGAAAATCTCCTGTGTTCCCCATGTGAGTGAAGCCCAACCCTGGCCTGTAAGGCTCTGCCTGCATCATAGGTCCCTGCAGACCCCCCTCCTGGACAACGTTCTTTAGCTGCCTGCCAAGCCTCGCCCATCTCAGGGCCTTTGCCCATGCTGTTCCCTCTGTGCGGGAGGCCTTCCCACTCTCCTGAGGCTGCCTCCCTCCCTCTATTGGAGTCTTTGTTCCCCTCAATAGCCCACACAGTCCCTGGCACACAGTAGGTGCTCAATCAATAATAAGCTTTCAATGCCGTGGGTTCTCCCAGCTCCTCTCAGTCTCCTGGTTGACCAATCCTTCCTCTTTGAAATTTCTCCCCCTGGGGTTTTTCATAAGTTAAATGTGTTGTGTGACATCTGGTGGCTCTCTATATCCCAATCTTCCTCCCAACCCCCAAAATGCTGACCTTTGCTAGACTCAGAGCTTTCCCACCCACCTCCCTTAGTCCCCTGAGCCATGGTGAATAAGTTCTCTAACTTTCTACAAAAACTTGTTAAAGAGCAGTTATGTGTCAAGTGGGGTGGAGGGGCCACAGAAACTCAGACACAGCATTTTTGTGGGTGAAAAGCCACAGACAACAACAGGAAGTTCTGATGTGCTGTGGAGCTGGGGTGGGCTGTCTTCGTCTCCTGTATTTCTTTTTCATAATTTGTGTATTTTAATGTTTTTTTAAATTGATTTCAGAGAGAGAAAGGGAGAAGGAGAGAGAGATAGAAACATCAGTCGGCTGCCTCCTACAGCCCCCTACTGAGCATTAAGCCTGCAACCTAGGGAATTGAACTGGTGACCTCCTGGTGCATGGACCAACACTCAACCATTGGCCAGGCTCTCCTGTAATTTTATTAGAAATCACATGATTTAGTCTGTCCAGCATAGTTCAGTGGTTGAGCATCGACCTATGAACCAGAGGTCACTGTTCGATTCCCGGTCAGGGCACATGCCCGAGTTGTGAGCTCGATCCCTAGTAGGGGACATGAAGGAGGCAGCCAATCAGTGATTCTCTCTCATCATTGATGTTTCTATTTCTCTCTCCCTCGCCCCTCCTCTCTGGAATCAATATATTTTTTAAAAGGTAAGACATTTCCAAATAAAAAATTTCAAAATTATATTAATTGACTACTGCTGTTCTATGACTATAGAACTCTATCCCGGAAGGCATACAATGTAATATCAAAACTGAGAAGAGAGAGAGAAAAAAAAAGGATAAAACAAACTGAGAAGAGCAAATTGGTTCCAATTTGAGCAACAAAGGGTTTGATGGGCAGTGGCCGCCTCGCTGTGTAGAGAAGGGTCACCAGGCTCAATTTGGCCTCATCAAGGAAATCCCTGAGCTGTGCTTGCCATGGGCGCTGAGAGCAAGGCCAGAGGGAGATTTGCATTTGACATCCCGAATCTCACCCAGAGCTTTCACTTTGAAGAGAAGGAATGTGATGGCCACAAAAGCCACCTTCTTTGCCATTTTAGTTTAGTCTCAAGTCAGCATCTAAGGCAAATATAAAGGCATTTTAATATTTTGGATGATTTTTTTGAAATTATTTCTTTCAATCCTTGTTATCAATACAGAGCCGACTTCATTTTGCTTTCCTCTCTGGCATTATCATCAAGTTAGTGAATGTAATTCCTTTTTTCATCCTCAGTTCTTTCTGCACTCTGCCTTTAATTTTTTTCTTTAGACCAGCGATTTTCCATCTTCTTTATCCGATGGCACACATAAATTACTAAAATCCTGCGGCACACCAAAAATATATTTCTTGCCCATCTGACCAAAAAATAGGTATAATTTTAATTCATTCACATTGGATGGCTATTGTGTTGGATGCTGTCACTTTTTTATTTGACAATCTAAAGGAAAAGAGGTCAGTGCCCATGACTACATAGTCAGGTATTGCACGTTGTAAAACTTTTTGCAGCACACCAGTTGAAAATCGCTGGCCTAGACACTTCTGGTCACACGTAGACATTTATCCAATTGTCTCTCTTTTGACCAAATATTTTTCTCTTCTCTTTTTTTGTTTTATTCCTGATTAAGAGAAAACTACCAGTATTCTAACAGATATTAAGTTCTAGTAGCCAGTTAATGAATGATGAACTTTAACACTCATTAAGTACAAGCGTCAGCTTTACTAAAAAACAACACAAGCAACACACACAAAGAAAACTGTCCAGCCCTAGTCAGTTTGGCTCAGTGGATAGAGCATTGGCCTGCGGACTGAAGAGTCCCAGGTTTGATTCCAGTCAAGGGCAAATGCCCGGGGTTGCGGGCTCGATCCCCAGTAAGGGGCGTGCAGGAGGCAGCCGATCAATGATTCTCTCTCATTGATGTTTCTATCTCTCACTCCCTCTGAAATCAATAAAAATATATTTAAAAAAGAAAAGAAACAAAACCTGTCCAGCCCAGCCGGATAGTTCAGTTGGTTAGAGTGTCAGCCCAATAGGTCAAGGTTGCAGGTTCGATCCCCAGTCAGGGCACATACAAGAATAAACCAATGAATGCCTAAATAAGTGGAACAACAAATCCATGTTTCTCTCTCCCTTTGTCTCTCTCAAATAAAAAAAGTCCTGGAGTTGGCTGGAACATCGTCACTGTTAGGGTCACCAAAGGAGGAACGCACGAGGCCCAAAGGGGTAAAGAATTATGAATTTATTAGGTCACTGGAAAACCAGATGGGCTGAGCCCCAAAATGGCACCAGCACCCGGGGACTGGGAGTCAGCGATTCTAAAGGATTCTAGGCGGGCATTTTCTGGGCAGAGAATTCCCTGGGCGGGTCCTGAGGGGAGAGATAATGGTCTTAGCAAGTGGAATGTGGTCTCAGCAAGTGCTAAGCAAGAGGG